TCTCCTCCATGTCTGGCATTGGAAATCCTTAGGGATGCTAAAGATGTGAACTTGATCAAGAAGGAACCTAAGACCTCTAAGAGGGTGGGATTGGGCCTGGCCAGCTCTGGAGGGGCTTTCTTTTGCCTGGTTCATAGGGGAAGAAGGAGCAGGCTTCCAGCTCAAGAAAACATGGGGTCTCTATCTTTCTGCTTGCTCTGCACAAAGACAGCAGAAGCTGAGCCTTCACTTTGAGACTCCTATGATAGAGGATTGATTGATTGATTTTTTTGAGACGGAGTCTCGCTCTTGTTGCCCAGGCTGGAGGGCACTGGTGTAATCTCAGCTCACCGCAACCTCCACCTCCTGGGTTCAAGCGACTCTGCCTCAGCCTCCCGAGTAGCTGGGATCACAGGCACGCGTCACCATGCCTGGCTAATTGTGTATTTTTAGTAGAGACGGGGTTTCTCCACGTTGGTCAGGCTGGTCTCGAACTCCTGACTTCAGGTGATCTGCCCACCTCAGCCTCCCAAAGTGCTGGGATTACAGGCGTGAGCCACCGTGTCTGGCCTATTTACTTATTGTTTTGGAGATACAGTCTTGCTCTGTCACCCAGGCTAGAGTACAGTGGTATGATCTTGGCTCACTGCAACCTCTGCCTCCTGGGTTTAAGCGATTCTCATGCCTCAGCCTCCTGAGTAGCTGGGGTTACAGGCACCCGCCACCATGCCTGGCTAATTTTTTGTACTTTTAGGAGAGACGGGGTTTCACCACATTGGCCAGGCTGGTCTTGAACTCCTGACCTCAAGTTCACCTCAGTCTCCTAAAGAGCTGGGATTACAGGCGTGAGCCACTGCACCCAGCCGTGATAGTGGTTTTTGTCCATGGTCCTGGGCTCAGAACTCCTGTAACCCTTGTTACAGTCTTTTGTTACATGTTGGGCACTTTAGGACTCAGGAAATAGAATCTCTCTCTCTCTGGCCTCCTCCTGTCCCCCTTCTCCTGCCCAATGCCGGAGTCTAATCAGATTGTGGGTGATAGGACTCTCATTCCAGAGAGGGCCCTGACACACACGCTGGAGGAAGGAATTATTGCACAGAGAGGCCAAGGAGAATCTGAACAGACAGGCCCTGCTGGGTTAGGTCAGACCCTTTTTGTGCAATCACATTTTGACACGGTTGTCACGCTTCAATCATAGATAACCAATGAAGTTTTCATAAAAGGCCCAAAGGATAGGGTTTGAGGAGCTTCTGGAGAGCTGAACACACGGTAGCTTCTTCACAGGAAAGTGCGGAAGAAGTTATCCACCTGCCGGGAGGGTGGGCACCCCAATGCCATGGGGACAGAAGCTCCTGCACTCAGGGCCCCTCTAGACCTTGCCCTCTGTATAGCTTCATCTGACTGTTTATCTGTATCCCTTAAAATATCTTTCATATCAAACCAATAAACGTAAGTGTTTCCCTGAGTTCTGTGAGCTGCTCTAGCAGAGTAATTGAGCCCAAAGAGGGGGTTGTGGGAACCCCAATTTGAAACCACTTGGTCAGAAGTTCCAGAGGCCCAGACTTGAGATTAGCGGGTAGGAGTGGGGTGGTCTTACGGCACTGAGCCCTCACTCTGTGGTGTCTGACGCTACCTCTGGGTGGAGAATGTTGGAACTGAACTGGGGGATACCCAGTTGGCGTCCACTGCAGAACGGATTGCTTGCTTGCCGATGGGGAAAATTCCCCCATGTATTTTGCTGTCACGGAAGTCTTCTGTGTTGATTATGGCAGTGTGAGAGCAGAGGAAAAAGTGGTTTGAGAGCTTTTCCCAAACAACTCCTTTGCTGGGACTCCAGGCACCTCCTCCCCACTGCTGCATCCCCATCCCCTTGCATCATTAGCTAAAGGGCACCCAATCCAGAACTCTTTGAAGCTAACAGGCTGTAATGCATTTCTGGTTTTTGAGTTTGTGATCTGTTAGATGGACATGAACAATTCCAAATATAGAGAGACCCAAACATCCCGTTTCTAAAAGTTTGTGTTATGGATGTGCCTGCACAGGGACATACAATTTTATGTTTAAGATTCTTCCTTGTCGGGGCTGGGTGTGGTGGGTGGCTCATGCTTGTAATCCCAGCTCTTTGGGTAGCCGAGGTGGGAGGGTTGGTTTGGTTAGAGCCAGGAGTTTGAGACCAGCTGGGACAACACAGTGAGA